GCTCTGGAGACGAGATCACGTTCTTTACCCCCCTTCCAGTCCCATGCCATTCCATCACACTAGATGTGTTAATTAGTTCACCATCATAGAATGGCAGTGTTATTTTCCAAAAACTATTTTTGTGAATGACTATTTTTGATAATTTGATTATTACTGTCTATACTTCTGCATTTAATTCTTTTATGACGTCACGATCTATTGTCTATCCTCTATCCTTAGTATGCTTGACATTTAAATTAACATTCCATACATCTGAGGAAGTGAATTCTTGCCCATGGTAGCTGATGTCATAATGTATGTGTTAATCTTTAAAAGTGCCATAAGACTCTCTTGATTTTTTTCAACAAACTAGCATAGGAAACCACTGCAGAGTTGCATGGAGGGCCCAAGCAGCTAACTGAAGGTGTAACAAAGTGGAGATCAAATCAGACTTCATTGTAGGTGGAGCCAAAGATAGAAGTCCAAGAAACAAGAAGCTTTTTCTATAAACTGAAAATCATTTTACAAAAGAATATAGAAGGATCAAAGGATAGGGAGAACCGAGAAAATAGCATTGCCCTTGATTATACTAGCATCTACAGAATGGCAGATAAAAAATAATCAAGACAAAGGAAAACAGATGAGGAAAGAGCTAAAACCTCCCAAGTCAGCCCCTATGCCTTCAATGATTGCTCTTACATCTACAACTTGATAAGTATATATATGTTATTTATGTTTCTGTATGCATATATACAGGCATACAATAAAAAAGATAAAATATGAAAAAAAATAAAAACGTAAGACATAAAAGTAATACTCAAAATATTACTTGTTTGGCTATTATAAGTTGCATAGTGTGCTAACACTTCCAGTTCAGTCCTAGACTCAGAGTCCATCCTAGACTCTCCTCCAAACTGCGTGAATTGCCCCAATTTTGTCCTGATTGGGGATTGGCTCAGCAAAATGAATTAGGCAGGGATGTATGTATATAGGAATGGAATCCTTTGCGTGCCCAGTTTAGAAAAGAGAGAAAAGTTGTGAGGTAGACAAGGAATCTACTTGCCAAAAGGATGGAAATGTTGCAGACTGCAACAAGTTAGGTAAAGAAATACTGAGCTTCTTGGTGTAGAACAGGAACATAGGTAAGGAAGCATTTGGCAAATGGAAAATTGGGCAGCACTCCCAAATCTTTAAATAAACAATATCCTGCTTGAGGGAAATGGTTATTTACTTTCAGACATTACGTCAGATATATATGGTGCGTTGGACTGATTTGTGCTCTAAGAAGCTTCCTTGGAAAGGAGTGTACATAAATGTCAGATGGTGGAACTAAGCATCCCATCGTGTCAATGAAACACTACATCTAGGTGAATGATAAAAGTATTAATGCACTAATATTTTATCTTATGATATACTTACATTTAATCTTTTTCCTAGTTGTAGGAAACTACATCTCATTCTGTAGATGTATTGTGCTTCTGAGCCATGATAGATCTGGCCATCCTTATCTCTTTAGACGTAGATTGTTTGTCAGGTTTCATCTTTGTAGGTTTGTTTTTAAACAGGTTACTCAGTGGCTGCTGGTGAATTTACTGGAGATCTGCATGAAGGTAAGAAGCTACTAAGAGATGTCTGGACTGTAATTTACTTACTTGCAGTGAAGTTATATGCATATGATGCAGTCCAGTGCATACCTCCTCCAAAGTGAGTTCAGTGGTCCAAGCTAGAATATAGCCTTACTCTCTTTCCTTCTCAAAATAAGAAAATTGTTAATTTTAAATTGTAAGGCTGCATAGTTACTTGTGGCCAAATAATGCAGTGTGGTTTTGTATCCACATAAGCCTTTGCATGAACCAAAAACTGTGTTGTATTATAAAGGTATTATACCCAGCATTAGTACCAGTAAAAACCATAGGAAGACAAATGAAAATGGATGATTTTTAAGCATTCTATGTTAATTACTGTGCTACAGGTTTGTATAATCTATAAATGTATTGTCCATATGGGTCCTTATGGAATTTTCCCTTGAGTAAGATTCTATATAAAAATTTTTGGAGTTTCCGGATGTGTAAGGAAACTACTAATCATATTGACATTCCCGTCCTGAGCCCTATTTTGCAGATTTCCAGATTAAGCTCTGAAAGTCATCAATGTAGAGTAGCCTTATCCAATCTGATAGCCTCCAGATGTGTTGGATTACAATTCCCATTATTCTTAGCGCAGCGATGATAGCAGTTGTAGTTGCCAGATGGGGACAGCTGGGGTTGAGCCACATAGATGTAGATCTCTTTTCTTCTTACCAATTTCTCTCATGGATACTGTCTAAAAGTCAGTGGTATGGTTTGGCCTCAGGCTTCATATTTTTGGTACTCTTCCAATTGATTGTATGATAACTAAGCTAAACAATTGCTCTGAATCTTTTCTCAGTGTACGGAGATTAGATGCAGATAAAGACCACAGTGCGTAGAGCAGTGTTTCTCGACCTTGGCAGCTTTCAGGTGTGTGGGCTTCAACTACCTTGCTGGCTGGGGAATTCTGGGAGCTGAAGTCCACATATCTGAAAACTGCCAAGGTTGAGAAACACTGGCATAGAGAATGGATACTTTTGTCCTTCCCCTCAGCTTTATTGCTTCCAAATAATCCTGCAGTGGGACCACGAAAGTTTTTTTTTTTAGAAAAAAAGGGAAGTGGTGGACAGGGTTAGGCTTGCCTCTCCTCCATATGAAATATACCCAGGTGCCTCCCGTAAAATAAAATAAAATAAAATAAAATAAAATAACAGGAAATGGTACAGCAGGAATGCCTGTTGTATCTTATTGTTTGACCTTCAGTAAGGCTCGTCAACAGGCACGGGTATTCCTCCTCCATCAAATACCAGATTATTTGAACCGAAAATTTGTGAATGTGTATGTGGGTATATTTATATCACAGTGTGCTCTTGTAAACTTACTATCTTGTACGTTGATCTTAGGGCTTCTTGAAGTTGGACTTTTAAAATGTTTAGGTCAAACAGCTCACTTTCAGCGTCATTAAGCCGCTGTGCCACCGCATCCCCTTAAACAGCTCACACACACATGAATATTAATAATATACTTAATGATAGTTATATCCCTCTCCAAATGTTACTTATATCCCCTTAGAATATTAAAATCAATGGCTAGCATTTTCTGAGCAATGGCTATGTGAGCAAATATTATACTAAGTTAACCTTCAGCCTATTCATTTCTTTCAGAGCTGGTAGCTGGAGTTCCAAGAGGTGCACAGAACTTCGGCTATGTATGTAGTCTACCAAGTATTTTATTTCTCTTCCCTTATTCCCTCATCTTAGCAATTAGCGTTAAACAAGTCTGTGAAAGACAGAAATCAATGCTTATAAAATAGTTATTCCATTCCTTCCTTAACCTCTCAATTTAAAAGTTTTCAGTCAAGGTTTACAATTGTTTGTCATTTATAACAATAAAGTGGGAAATTAGATTGTGCTGCAGATATTACAAAGAGTGCAGCAGATTATAATCCAGCTGCTCCTTTAGATATATCCAGGGATTTATAACAATAGCCTAGTTTACAAACATGTTAGGGTAAAATGGGGTTGGGTGCTTTGGGATTTTAGTGTGCTACGAAAGCTCAGTCATTGTTTTAGCAAATAGTATGAGCCAGGCCATCAAGTTAAGCTCTAATATAGTTTGTTTGAGTAGCACATTTTAGAAAAAGAAAAGGAATGTGTTTGCTAATCTGGATTTGCTGTTTAGCATGCTATGAACTCAGGTAGCAGGACTTTTTTTTTCTAGCGGTCGTACGCCCTCCTTTCCTCTGGTGGTTCCAGCAGCATTGGGGCAGGACTGCAAAAAAGTCAAGATGGAAGCTGGGATTGGGTGATCAAAGTTCCATTCCTTTTTTATATGCATCACACATGCAAGACATGTTAAAAAAGGGCAGAGCTTAGATTGCAAGGTTTAGCCACCATCTTGATTTTTTGTCTCCCCCTGTCCCTATACTGGTATTCCTCGTTTAGCAACTGCCTTGTTTAGCAACCATTCACAGTTACAATGGTGATGAAAAAATAACGACTAATTCTTGCATGTACAACCTTTGCAAGTCTGTAAAGTAAAGGAAAGCTAAAGTAAGATCATAAACACAGTTGCAGTTTCACTTAGCAACCACTTTACTTAATGATCAAGTTGCCAGTCCCAATTGTGGTTGTTAAACAAGGACTACCTGTAAATGCCCCTGGTTGGTTTCCCATGAAGGCCAAAAGATAGTTGTTTTTCTTGCTTTAAAAAAATTGAAAGAAATGCTGAGAATAAAGACTTTAGACATTTCTTAGAACTATAGTTCTCAAAAGAAATGAATGTGGATTCATCATGGCTTCATTTGAGAACAGGGCCTTTGGTGTCCCCAGACCTGGCGAAGATATTAATTTGAGTCCTGCAACCACCCACATGCTTTTAATGGCTTCCTATGCCAATGCCATTTTTTTCTCCTTTATTTTATATCCACCAAGGTCAGTAGGAGGGCAAGTTTAAAAGTCCCTGTAATGATTTTGGAATATAACCATTTATGGCATGTCTGACAGCATTTTCATTTCCAGGTTACAATCATAAATTCCACAGATCTGACCTTTATTCAGAATTTCACAGGCGAGCAGGTAATAAATTTTGATCATTCTACGCAATTATTCTACATTTCAAGATATAGATTACAGCAATTAAAGGTTACAATATGAAAGGTAGAGATAAATTCGCACTGAGCTGGCTCCTGGTAACTTCATGAATACACCCTATTTTGTTTTTGTTTTTTTGGCAACAGTATGAAAAAGTTCCACAATATACAGAAACCAACATTATTTGGAATGGTACGGAATGAAAATTTGCTGATAGCTGATAAAAAAATGACATTTTTTTTAACAGATGGCATCTTACTTTGGATATACAGTTGCAGTCTCAGACATTAACAATGATGGGTAAGTTGCTAATAGCAACTTATTAACTCCAGTGCATTATTTTATCATTGTACCCTGTTTAATCTAAGCTTTTCAACTGGATTCAAAACATGATTGATTGATTGATTGACACTCTCTTTTTTTCAGGAACTCAAGGCACTCCCACTCCTATTTTTTTTTCACAACAGCTCTATGGAGTACTCTTAAATTGTTTGTTTGGTCCAGGGGGGTATTCTGGGCCAGCCAAAACTAATTATCTTGAAAAAGTTTGTAACTCACTTGTATATGATCAGTTCTAATACAACTCCTTTAATTTTAATCTCCTTTCCTAAAGTTCCTAATGTTAATCAATAGTGGCAGAATTTATTATTCTACATTCTAAAAATGACGACACCAATTTTCTGACAAACCAAAAGGAAATAATCTATGATTGTTCTTTATATTATTTTATTTCTAGGTGTTCTGTTTTCCTAGTTTGTGGATCCTATTTTAAAGTACAAATAGACACTTCTTTTCCCTATATGATAGCTCTATTGTTGTCAAATTCTTCTGCACTAATAGATTGCAATAAACTCTATTATTGTAAACAAGAAGGGCCACCATCAGTGCTTCATTGGCCTTAAAGCCTTGATGTGGTCCCCCAAATACTTCATAATTTCCTTCAAAATTGTAATTTTTCATGACATTATTAAATATTTGAGAAATAACCATTTATTATTTTTTATTTAAAAGACACATGGCTGCTCATCTTATATACAACAACCCTGGGGGTCTCACAGCAACTACAATAAAATATGAAAAGGAACACTAATACTAACAACAAAAATTATACCTCGGAGCCCACTGGGCTCCAGTCTTACTTTAGCTCAACACCTGGAGGAAGGGCCAGCTCATAATAACTTTCTAGCTCCATCTGAGTACGTCACAACCATATAAATGATATTGAATTGAATTGAATCAAATAAAATTGAATTAACATGAAAATAGAGGTACCTTTTGGCTTTGCTCTGCCCACACATTTGTTCTGGCTTTAATCTGTTTTCTAAGACAGTCCTGGCCCCATTGAAGTTTGGAATGGTACATGAACTACAGCTGAGTGAGTGTTGAACAGTTCCTTGGCAGTTTACGTTGTTTGAAACATTTTCCCTTTAATTTATTTCAGAATTTTAGTTTAGTGTGTTAGTAAGCTGAGTACATTCTTCTGTGCTCCCCCAGCAGATGTGTTAATTCATCATCTTAAAATTGTTTGTGTTGTTATGCAGAGGGAATTATTAGAGTATTTTAATTTTAATAGGACCTATATTACAGTTGTATTGCTGACTATTTGTAATGGAAACAAGGACATAATTATGGAGTTTAGATTGATTTCTGAAGTGACAATTGCATATGATCTATTTCAATTTTGATCTTTCAGGACATAAAATGTAGAACTTTAGAAAATGCAAAGATAAACACTGAATTGTAAAATGCTACCTTAAAAACTATCGCATTCCCAACAAAATTAGAAACTGAATTATAAATTTCCTCATCCTAGTCATTGCAGATCACTTTATTTTTCAAGTGAATTTTTCTATTGCTGTAACTAGTTCCCAGTTCAATCAGTTGATTCCTAATTTGCTCAGACTTGGACAAGCTTTCAAAAACAAGTAGTTTTTAAGAAACAGCTGGAGTGGGAGAATAAATTTGTGATTTTGTAAGGGATTTTTCCACAGCTGGAGATGGGAGTGGATAGAAGGGAGAGATAAAAGACCTGCTTCTTTTAATAGCTTTGAGAATAGTTGGACATGGAGAGAATGTTTTTTTGAGGCCTTTTACCATTACCCCACCTGCTGTTCAAAATAGGATGGGTCCAGACAGGATTTTATTTCTCAAAATCCTAGGAAGTTTGGTTGCATTGTGTGCATTAGAGGGAAGCAATCTGGCACCCTCCAGGTTTTTTGGATTATAGCTCCCATAGTTCTGGTAAGTGCTGATGGAAGTCAGAAACATCTGGCGAGGCTCCCACAGTGTATTAAGCCATAGTTTACTTCTATGTGAATTATTGAATTACAATGCCAAAAATACTGTAAAAAAGCATTTTATCACACTTGAGTATATTCAGGGGGCTCTGTAATGTATGGGGGAATGACCTTGAGAGACAGGAGGAAGAGCCACAGCCTAGACAATGGACTGATAAATGAAATCTGAGTCCAAAGGAGGGGTGGGGGTAGAGAAAGTGACTCAGAAGGGACCCTCCCTAGTTTTTCAGAGAGTAAAAGTAAGGAAGGGGAGAGGTACTTTTACATGTGCAAGATTCTGTTACTGTGACCTTACAATAAAAGTAGTGTTAGTACTCAATGGTTGGTGTTTTTTGTCCGGACTACCTCAAAGGGCTAACAGGCACAGAAGAGGGCTAAGGGAAGGCATATGATCCATAGGCTGAAAGTTGCCCCCCCCCCGGCTGAACATGATACTTAAGACAGAAGGTTACTAACGTTCATCTTTCCTTCATGTAAATTTATTTGTTATATGTATATCCCACCTTTTGTTCAGGAGTTGAAGGCAATGTACGCAGTGCCCCTTCTCCCATTTTCCCCCACAATAATAATCCTGTGAGGCAGGGTGGGCTGAGAGGAAGTGACTGGCCCAACTTCAGCCAATGAACATCCATGACTGAGAGTGGACTTGAAACCCAGTCTCCCAGTCTAAAACCTTAACCACTACACCACACTGTCTCTCAGACAAAATGCCCCAGACTCCAAATCTGAAATTGAAGCATATGTTCTGTCATGGACATATAACCCTTACATTAAAAGCTCAGTGTGTGATATTCTTGTTAGAATAGTTGCAGGGTTGCATTGATGGTACAGTTAGTGGGAATTAGTGCTGTTTTAAATAGGCACTAGTACCCGTGATCAGAGCCATGATAGTTTATGCACAAGATTCATAGAAATGGTAGAGATTTATTTATGTGGGCTGAAACCAAATGTCTAGTAAAAATGCATCACCCATATTATATCACAGCTTTACTTTGGTTGTAACCCCCAGATGCTGCACCATACTCCTGCTGCTAACTACCCAGTAGAACACAAAAGAATTGCATAAAATATCTGTGGGTGGCCAGCATGTGCTTGTTGAATGCGATTTTTCTTAAAAGGAAATAATTAGGGCTCTCCTGGTCAGTGCGTGGGTATAAGTACCTTCTCGATTTATGGTATACAAATGCCGCACCAGTGCAGAGATGTGGAAGTGAAAGAACAGAATATTGATGCTTGGTCAGACCAAATACCCTTCTTGTCCCACCTTCTGTTCATACCGTGGCAGAAAGGATGACAATAGGAAGCAGACAAGAAGGACATGGGTGCCCTAACTCACTTTTTTGGTAATGTCTGGCATTGAAGTCTATTGCCTCCTTCATTGGAAATGGAGACATCTGCTGGGGGTCAAAAAGGTCAAGATGGCAGCCGCAATTGTACAGTCATGACAGCCATTTTAACTTTTTTGAAGCTCCTGACTGGAAGCGATGTGTAGCAGACACAGCTTGTAGCACAGCACTAAACACTACTGTGAATTGCAGTGCCCTGTTACATTTGAAAAGCTGCTGCTTCATTTCCCATCCCATTTTTTGAGCTTGGCTCAGAAACAAGGCTATTTATAAATGCAGACAAACAGAAATGTTTCTCAAGTTTAAAAATTTCTACTCTAAACAGATGTTTTAAGACACACAGCTCCCTGTGCATTGTTAGAACAATTCAGGACAGGCTGGAAACAAGAGAAGAGAACAAATGGAAGTGAAATTGACATCATTGTTTTTGTTATCTGAATTAGGAGTTGGAAAAACAACGTTTTAGCAAAGATCAGAGGCAGTGACACAGACAGCCTAAGATTTTGAATTCATGCATTGATGCAAGGACGTACGAAAACCAGAAGGGAGAGAAACCAAGAAAGGGTAAACCTTTCATCTACCAGGGATTCAGCAGTGTTCTGCCCCAAAAGCAGGTGCTGCTGAGCCATTTAATTCTGATTCACAGGTGACCCCTGTGCAGTCCAGATGTTCTACATAAGAAACATTCAGAGGGGATGTTGGAACAGGGCCAGGTAACTTCCCAATGGGTAGAAATCTAGCCCTATCAAATCTTAGCACAATGCAAGGCTATATGGGTGTCTGCAGGATCTTACTGCTTTATGTGCATGAGATATCACAATGCAATTACAAAATGGGCAGGGCATTTAGTCATTCTCTCCACCTTGTCCTTCCCCATGGATACCACTGCAAATCAAGCACATTTATTGAGAGTGGACCCATCTGGATGTCAATCTTGACCCTCCTTCTTGTTTCTTCACCTCTAGTATGGATGACATCCTGGTTGGTGCTCCTCTCTTTATGGAACGTGAATTTGAGAGCAACCCCAAGGAGGTTGGGCAGGTCTATCTGTACCTGCAAGAGGCTGCCTTGTACTTCAAAGAAGCACAGACACTGTCTGGCACTGAGGTTTTTGGTCGATTTGGCAATTCCATTGCACCTCTGGGAGATCTCAATCAGGATGGATATAAAGGTAAGGCGCTACATCATCTTAAAGAGATGCACATAAATAACTTAGTAGGATTTATAGTTCAGTACCAAAGTTTCTTTCACTCTAAAGCATACTTATGTAGAGGCAGAGGTTGTAAAAAGTTGAACTGTTGACAGGCTACTTTCTTGCTCACAATGAAGATATGATGATGTAAACCCACTAATTACATCCCTAATCATTACTGAAGGACGTTGCACTATTACTAAAATGGATAGATGGATTGGATGGTGGAATTGCCACAATTTTAGTCCAGAGAGGAGTAGCAGCAGCAGTGGTAGCTGCTCATTTCTATACCATTATTTTTGAAGTAGATTCCAGTTACAGTTTCTTGCTCTTTTGTGTTTATTTGTTTTACTTATTTACCCATTTGTGTGCAGCTCACTCATTTTTGGCAATTAAGTGGTTTACAATCTCTAAAATTCAGTTAAAATTAAGTAGAACAAAGATAGTCGTTAAAACCAGCCATGTAAAAAACTCTGTACTAAAAACCCTGAGAAAAGATAGAAGTTTTAAATCCCTTCCTGAATTGTTATCAAATTGGAAGAAGGCAGCCTCAGTTCCAACCACAGGGAACAGGAACAGGGTCAAATAGTGTTAGCTAGTTAGCTTGGCAATGGATCCATATCCCCTTCTCCTTTGTAAACTATTCACGCCTTTTCAATGCTGCCCCAAACATCAGTGTATTGTGAAAGCAAAGCTAGCTGAAGTTAACGCTGTGCCAAAAACTGCCTTGCAATCTCAAAAGTTTTCTTCCTCTGAAAGAAACATTTTTTTCTACCTGATTCTCAGGCCTTTTTCATGGTGTCTTCCCTTGGAATTTAAATGAAGAATGGGAAGCCAGGGAACCTGTAGACTACTGGGAGAGAACTGTATGCTGAGAGACAGGATATTCACCCATACCTCTTGGCTAGCTGATGGCTACATTAGTGCAAGAACAGCTCACAAATTCTCTCATCAGATTGAAAAAGAACTGGTAGAAAAAGAAAGCAGGATCCTTTTTTTCTGCACAGCACTAGGTGAAACATTTCCTGTCCATGTCGACTTAGCACTTATTTATTTAGTCACTCAGTCAATTTACAGTATATAGCTGCCCTCTTGACATGTGACTTAGGGTAGCATAAAAGTAAAACAAATAACAATATAAAAATAAAATAATTTAGAAGAGATAATGCAGGTTATGCCAGAGGCAATTCAACAACCCAAAACATTCAGTCCAGATAGGCTCACCCTCTTGCCTGACCAAGTGCCTGGGGAAAGAACCAGGCCTTACAAAAGGCAGGCAGGGAGGGGCCATCTGGTCCTCAGAGGAAATGCTGCTCTGTAGGGCAGGCACAACAACAAAAGATACAGAATTGATCCAGTGGCCTTTCTAACAGTGCAATTTGACCTTTCTGTTTTGCAGATATTGCCATAGGTGCTCCATTTGCAGGAGAAGACAGAAGGGGGAGAGTATTCATCTACAACGGAGCCAGAAACGGGTTAAATCCGAACCCTTCCCAGATTCTCAGTGGCCTATGGGCCTCCCAATCTATGCCTGCAGGATTTGGATTTACACTGAGAGGAGACTCAGACATAGACAAGAATGATTACCCAGGTAACGTTCTTCCACCAGGGGGGGGGGGGGGGTCTTTTTCTGGAAAATGCATCATTCTCAGCCTGTTCTTTTTGGAGAACAGAGGTCAAAAATGCAGATTAGGCTTTTTTGTGTGTGCAGTTCTAGCTTTGCTTCCCTGAGAATTTGGACAAAGCAGATACTTCCTTTCCTGTGTTGAGATACCATCTGAATCTCATAGCTGCAACAATGTATACATTAACATAAAACACCTGAATTGTTAAGAAGAAGAAAGGATATTAATTCTTCTGTTTCCTGTCCAAAAACTAAATGAAAGAATTCCTCCTGTATATCTTGGATGAAAATTAATGATGAAAATTCCCAGAGTGATTATATAGACACAGATGTAGGTAAAGCTGTCACTATAAAGCAAAAGAGAGTGATCAATAATTAAATCATTTATAGTATTGCCCTATTTGTAATTGTAGGGTTTAAAATTGTTTAAATATGTTGTCTCCTTGAAGTTGAAGACTCTGGAGTCCTGATGGACATGTCTGTATAGATTTCCTGAGAACAGTAAAGAAGTGGTCTGCCTTTGCCTTCTTCTGGGAAGTTTTTTCAACCTCCCAGTTTGGTGTACAGACCTGCTAGTCCCTAGAGCCATATCACCCAAGTACTCACTAGGTCTGACCCTGCTTAGTTTTTCATGATTAGTCAAGTTTGGCCAGATACTGCCATCTGCTGTGGACTAAATACATTGTAGGTTTCCTAGTTATACTAAACTACTGAAAACAAAAACAGTAAACCCTCAGTTTGACAGACTATTGGAGCGGGGAGGGATGTATAAATGGGATTTTATGGATGTGTAAAATGGAAAACAAGTCATTGTATCTGAAGTTCATTAAACTAAAGTCCAGTAAATCAAAGGTTTACTGTATAGCGCTTTGGCTAAGACAGTCTTCTTCAAGGTGGTACCATTCAAATGTGCTAGACATAACCTCTTACAGAGTCAAGGATGGTGGGAACCATCCCAACATCTGGAAAACATGAAGTTGTGGATGGCTGGAATAAGCAACAAGATCAAGATTTCAAGAACTATTAACTCATCTGATGGCTTAATGCAAACATCTGACTTTTAGCATGAGAGATCCACATAGAAGAGAAGGAATAGTAATACTGGCTTTTCTAAACAGCATTATAATAACATTATTTGAGCATTTAGGAAAACCATTATTTAAATATTGGATTGGATCCAGACTAAGTTAGTAGTGTTATAGTTTAATTGAAATCAATTAAACTGAGCTATAATCCATTTGTCTCATACATTTAAACATTTCAAATAGTTTTCTCCAACCAGGGTCCTTCCTGATGTGTTGGAAGACAACCTCCATCACAGTCAGCCACCACAACCCAGCGTCTGCGTAGGTTGAGGATCATGGAAGTAATACTCTAACACATCTGGAGGGTTCCTGGTTGGAGAAGTCTGAAGAGAAGACTTGGAGAAGTCTGAGCCAAAGCATATCAGGATCCCTCCCTTTAAATACTATTGTTTTTAAAAGGCTGGCTTTTAAGAACAGAAGACAAAGTATGGCAAACAATTTTATTTGCTTGCTAAGGCTTAACGTGATTCCAATAGGGCTGCTTCCATCGGGTTTGTTTTTGTTTTTGTTTTAGTTTTTTTAATGTTTCTCCTTGAACAATCAATATTTTATTGATGTCATCTGGTATTTATCAACAATGCTTCATTACTGGAGCTTTTGGTCTTTATTTTGAAAGTGAGCTTGTCCATCAAAGGGCAGTGTTCCAATGCCCTTTGTAGTCTAAATGTACAACTTCATTTTAATCTGATTTTATCCATTTCCCCACCACTTTCACTACTTTTTTCTGGGATCAGCAAACAGCAGACCACATTTCTCTGTCTTGGGTCTGAGAAAACTCTCGCGCATTTGTAACATAACATACGCTGTAGAGTTCCTGTTCTCCAAGATGTAGATTGTTTTGCTGGCATGCGTCCCATAGTAATTAATGGGACATTGTTGGAAGAGCATTCTGGAATATCTTTGCCACTGTGCTCTGTTAACCTACTGTGCTAATGTTTTGGGATGGTTTTTTTTTTAGGCCTGCTTTCAGTGATTCTCCCCAGTCCCCTTTGTTTACTTTCATCCATCTGGCTAAGTTGTAATTTTGTGTTCTCATCTGCACTGACTTTGAAAAAGAGAAGAAAAGAAGAATAAAATGTGAGGTGTTTTCATGTTCTTTGGGATCTTTACAAAGGCTTCAGAAGATGTGTTTTGGGTGCATCTGACTCCTACCATTACAAATCAAAAGGCATTGTGAAACTAAGCCATCACTTCTACCTTAATTGGATATCTTCCGGTAATTGTTGTGGTGGTGGTGATGATGATGATGATGATGGAAGAAGTGGTGGGAAAATATAAACAGGCTATACACTGAAGCAAGCTCATCTGGATCTCCTATAAAATCGTGTGAATTAGGAGAGTGACTGGCTGATAAAAATCACATCTGGAGATTCTCTTGGAATATTTCCAGTCTCCATATAGAGGACTGTTTGTAGAGGGATTAATGGAACTTGGGATTCAGCAATATGTTACATAATGGGTCAATCAAATCTTTTCATTTGACAAAATGTAAACATAGAAGTGGAGATATATGTGTTTAGAGTAACATCATTCCTTGGTTAAAGTAATACCACTAATAGACCAACTCATTGTGTATAAAAAGGTAGATGCCTGGAATCTTTATGCATTGTTGGATTTTCCCAGTTAGTCCAAAAATAGTTGCAAGAGCTAGAAATAATAAAGATATTGAATAAGCTTTATCTCCAATATTTTGCTTTGATCCAAGACACCCCCACATCCTAGAGATGGTAAACCTGTAATGGATTTGAGAGCACATGTGTAATTCATGAAAAAAAATCTATATACTTGGAGAACTTGTAGGATTTTTAGTAATACTAGAATATACTTCTTAAAGACACAGAATAGATTTGGACTCAACCACACATTCCTACCATATCATCCTGTTTTGTTTGCTTTAAAAGATATATTAGGAGGTGCTATCATAGATCTAGTTTTCTTCCTTGACAAAATATCCACTTTACTGGGCAAGAGAAATGATGTGCATATAATCCAGTTTGATTTTAGCAAAGTTTCTGGCAAGGTTCCAAATGACATTCTCATTAATAGTTGTTCAAGTGTGGTTTGTCACTTGGTAATGTAGGACCACATGTGGCTGGTTAACTGCATTCAGAGTCAGCATTAATGTTAGGTGACATGATGGCTGTGTAGGAACAAGACAACATTGAACAGAAAGTCTTTGGACAAGTTATAGACCCAAGAAAGAATGAGAACAGTGACTGGCAATTTGTCAATTTATTGTTTATGGTGAAAGTTTGAGAGAATTAGTGAAGTACATAAGGGTGATGAAAGACTTTCACAGGCCATTTTTGGAGTAGAACTTGGAAAGAAAAGGAAATAAATAAAAATCTGGAGTAAAACATTCACTACAGGAAGAGGAAGTACAAGTCCTGCATGAAAAAGTATTAGAAGATAGATTGATCTTTGAATACAGTGAATTAAAAGTAGATAGAAAGATGAAAACCAAACAAATCTCATTATGGTTTAGCTTGGATAAACACAGTCACTGATCATGGCTGGGTGAATCAGATCAGCATAAGCCAGTTTCCTCTTTTGTTGTATAAATTTTGATACAGAGAAGTATGTGCTTTAAAGCTACATTTGGGGCTGCACTATGGGGCAGAAAATAATAATTATTAAGGAGGTGCCTGGGGGGGAAGGTTTCTAAAGACATCGAGCCAGTCTCTTCTCCAAAGAAAAGTAGAATCCAGACATATGGAAGGCGTAATGTAACTGTATGTGCAGTGGTGGTGATGGGGAACCCCTGTAATATACTCATTGTGCCCACCTGTTTAATACTGCTAATGTGAATTTAAATAGCAAAAGATCCTTTATTTTTTTAAAAATCTAGTGTATAGGTTTGTTAGATCAAGAAGGATATGCTATATAATGTCTATGTGATGCCTAGAGAAATGTCCAATTTTGTCTTGCCATAAGTTGGTTTATTTTTAATGGAAGTATATATTTTGCTCTATCCTTGAAATTCAGTGTCATTAATGATGGTTTGGGCAATGCCATGTGATGAGTATAGATGTGGACTTTCATTGTAGCAACATTAATTACTTTTGACGCCCCATGTGTAGTCTAACTGAAGAAACACTGACCAAGACTGATGTCATGTATAAATGTAATTGCTCACTGTTTCTTTATAGCACAGAATAAGTTTGCACCAACTCTGAATGAATGAATGAATAAATAAATAAATATATATATTTATTTATTTATATAGCAGCTGGATAGCGTAGTGATTAGAACACCGCCTTTGATGCAGGAGACCGGGATTCAAATCCTGGCTGGTACCTACCTTACCAGTAGGGGTCCTTGGGCAAAGACCCTCTAATGCTTCACTTGCCTACCTCAACTATGAGAGTGACATGAACTAAGAGAGTCATGATGGCTCGGGCGTTGCCTGGATTAACAAAGTCTGCGTCAGATGTTAATGACAATCTGATGTTAAGTGGGCTACTGGAACAAACCATACATGGACAAGACAAGAGAACTTAGAAATGATGGAATGCTACTACAACAGCAGACCTAATGAGAGGGGATATATGAAACGTATGACGGAACTATGAATAGACAGAAGGCCTACATCCACACTAGCTGAGAAACAACTAGTTACCCAGCGCTTCAACATAGTGAAGAGGAAGCTGCTCACACAACTTGAGATAGACCAACACCGCATTACAACCCGGACTCAAGCAGACCTGGAAGAACAAGCAGATGTGCAGC